ATTGGACACAGCTGGACCGACATAAAATGAAGCACGAGTCTTCGCACCTGCTTTGTTTTCGGATTGCTTTCACTCAGGAGGAGTCCGCGGAACACGCCGTCGTCATCAAGGTCATCAATAAATCAGGAAGCAGAGCTCAGTGGGGGTGCCCATGATCACAGGTGGAATATGTAATAAATCAGAAAGCCTCTCGCTACTGAAGGGTTACTGCATCCACACCAAACAACACGACCTTGTTAGCCCGATTCTTTAGTTGGAAACCTGAGAATAAACCAGAGTCGATCAAGAGTAAAAATTGACATTTATTGGGTCACAGGTAAAGTATTTCAGCGCTGGGCTCTTCACAGAGGAAACCTCTCTCTCAGGGTGTCAGTCGGCAAAGAGCCCCGAGATCTGGGGGTGATGGGTCTTTGTATCCTAAACTGGGCACACGCCTCAAAAGGAGGACTGGACACAACCAAGTCCTATTGGTTAGTTATCTCTAAGACTAACCAGCCACGTCTTAAATTCATGTTGATGACATTGGAATGTGGTACCACAATGTGTGTGTGTGTGTGTGTTGACTTAAAGACGTGGATCTAATGCAACACAGAAAGAGGATAGAAAGAAAAGGAGAGAACAAAGAGAATCTGTGGTTACAGCCAGAGACCAAAACACAAAATATAGTTATAATATAAAATGAAACAATCAGTAATATACATAGATCATGTGATAGCAAACAATGCAAAAGTGTGTATTTATAACCAAATCCTAACAACTTCAACAGCAATTCCAGGTTTGGGCTCTTCCCCTCTGCCTCCCGAGGGAAGTTTCTTTAAGTTTCCTACTGGAGGAATGTGCATGCCGGTTAGGAAGTGAGCTGTGGGAGCCCTTTGTGACAGCGGCTAGATAAGGCCCACTGGTTTATATACGTCTGGATCCATCCAGCTGTCCAGCAGGGCTACAATAGCCTGCTGACCAGCCAGTGTCAATATTCGGGGCAGGGGATGATATCCGAGTCCCGGTGAAGGCTCACACCTTTCTGGTTTCAAGACTTTTCTCCACCTCTCATTTCTTTTGCCTTAATTTCTTTCCCCCGAACCACTTTACTTCCGCAAATACTATCTCCCCAATGCACACGTTTTTTCTCTCTCCGCTGCCTTTAACTTTACCATCCTTTTACCCTTGCTTTATAAAGTTTTCATTAACTTTCAACTTGCAGAGGAAACAACCACGGCTGCGGCTTGATGTGCGAGAATGACAACAAAGCAGCCAGAGAGAGCTGAGGGGCCGAAGCCAAGGCACACTTTTCATTCCACATATCTCTACTGAAGGGCAAGCCCTGCTAACCATCAGCCTCCAGAGCACTCTATTAACTCCACAGCACTGCCTGCTTCCTATTCCCCTCTCACTGCGAAAAAAAAAAACCTCTCCCAATTCGGCCATTTACACATGTACACAAACCTTTAATGAATAATAAATATCCGCAGCAGCGAGCAGGAGCCGACCTGAACCCAGAATGTTTGAGGTACTAATGGAAATCATTCGGGGAGAGTCATTTTTATAAGTACTTTCCATGGGCTACTGGTGTACGGACATGGGTTTTGTTTTTTATGCTCAGTCATGACAAAGTTGGGGGCAGATGTGAGATTAAACTCGGTGATTAAAAGCTCTGCATTGATTTTTACTCTGCAATGTGCACATACTGTGAATTTATTATGTACTGCAGCTTCTTAAAAAGTTCTAAAGGCTTAGCTGAGGGAAGGCGTGATTATGTTTACAATGAGGTTTAAAGTTTCTGGTATAAAATGATCCAAGTAATTGTACCGAGAGCAGCGGTTTAAAGCGCCATACCGTACACATTAACAGGGTAATGAGTGCTCATCGTTTGCAGACAGCACACAGAGTACAAGGCTGGCTTCAGAAAGCTGTGAGACATGTTGAAAAAGCAACAAATTAGTCACAGCTATTGTTTCCCCGATTAAGCCTTTCACAGCACATTTTTCAGATTTGTCTCTGCTTTGCCTTGATTATTTCTGACGTGCTGAACCTGCACTTGAAGCTCCATTTTGGATTTGACCTCCCGCCTCCTCCCTTTGCTTCGTTTGTCTATGACCCTCAACTCTTGAGTTATTTTTCATTTATTTACCTTTGTGTTGTGGTTTCTTGTGTCCTTCTGTCAGCCCTCAAACTCACAGGATGCTTTCTGCATCACTGGAGCTTTTAACGTCTTGATTTTACTTTTATCTGATGTGGGGTTGAGCTGTAATATCAGGCTCCGACTCACATCAGTTCAGCCTAAAGGAAGAGGTCAACGTTGCATTTGTAAAGGATCTTAATGTGGTAATGTGGAACCCTGAGCTGGCGTACCTTTGGTGTATTTTAGGAAGGCCTGACGCTGGTTTGGGCCGATATTCAGCTTGTGGACAGCGAGCGACCTCTCTGCTAACAGAGAGACTTCAGCGTGCGTCTGCTGTGTACTGGTTGTGTCACTTTAGCTTTGCCCTGAAACTCAGAAGATTTATTTACCTTTGATTCCATTGGACACCCAAAAAACTTTTTTCAGGTCATGCGCACTGAAAAGTTACTGAGTTGGTACTGGTTTAACAAGCTAAAAAGTCCATTGAAATAGTTTTTTTCTGCTTTTCATTCAAGCCTTTTGTAAGGACGGGGTTCATTGCATTGTGCATTGCTCTCTCCTTTTACCTATATTCTGAAGTGTCTGCGAATATGAAGCTGTCAGTAATAATGAAAAAATAACAGGGTTATGAGGCCTATTTTTTATTTTTTTATTTTTATTTTTTATTTTATTTTTTAAACCTCTGATATATTTACCCAAATGATGCAGTAAATGTGACTAATGACACCACCATCAGAACCATTTGACTCACACTCTCCTGTATCCCTGTTGCCCAAATGGAGAAGAGCTTTGCGTCAAAGCTCCGGGCTGCACATATAACAACCGAGGGACAAAATCTGTCAAAAGACTAATTGTGTCATTTGTATGAGCTTAAGAAAAAAAAAGTCAATCAGTTAATCAGGGAGATGGAGGGTGATCCGACAAGGTATTAATGCACCTGTTAGCCACAGAATGGCATATGTAAGCCCTCACAACATTTAGTTGAATTTATTTCATGGGCCAGTGTTTCATTTCGCTGTACTTATTCCACCTCTGTGTCACTTTAACCCTACTTCTGTCTCTGTCTTAGTGTTGTTTGTAGGCCCAGACCTCTGTCACCGGCTGATAAATGAGAGCTGTCCCGGCCGCTGTACACTAGATTGTGAGGCAATCCTCTGTTGTCATAAGGTCACCTAATTTAATTTCAAGCTCAGAGGAAGAGATTACAAAGCCTGATTGAATGAAGACACTACTGTCATCCTCTGAGCAAACCAGTATAAAGGAGTCACTTTATTGCAGCAGCATATTTTTCCTGTCTGTTCTCTCTGTCATTGCCTCAAATCTTTGTTCAATTAGGTGGTTGTGGAGAAGCTTTAATTAAGCTTTAATGTTTTGCCCCATGAGGACTGTCTTGTTGAGTTTGCCATCTGTGGAGTGTGCTCATTTGTTTACTTGGTTGGCCCAATTTATGGGTACTGTTACTGTTTCCTTACAAACAAAAGCAATCTGCATGTGTGTATTTCTACTTCTCAAAGAGACTAAAGCGCTGTCTGCTGGTTGCCATGACTTTCAACATACATAACATTCATTTAGCATTTTAAATGTCATACAAAGTTCATTTCAATTAGAACCACCACCATAAGCCCATTGAAAAAAATCAAACAGGATTTATTGCTCGTTAATCTAGTGTCTGTAACTCTATATTTATGCAGAATTGCAAATTAAAAGGTTTGTGGAGAGTGGTTTGGAGTACTCAGTAGCATAAATAATGATCAGGGGTGACTCAGAAACCTTTATGTCTTCTAAATTATAGAGCAGCACAAATCAGTCAAAAAGCAGCAAATGTCTTTACACCTCAAGTTCATCAATAATTGATTCAATGTTGAGGGACTCGCCGTGAACAATATCATATTACGTGCAGCTGGTTGCTATGGCGATGACATGGTTTGTTGTGCTCTGTTGGCTCTACACCAGCGTGCTCCCACTCAGCGTTCAGTGCTCAGCAGATACTCAAACATGTGAGTCAGAGAGAGGTACAATCTGCACAATTAAGAATGTATTACGCAACAATGGCACCTGCTCACATAATGGATTCATGACTTCTAATTATGCCCAAAAAGCATACATGAGTAAATGTGTCTGGGATCTTATTAGACGATGAAAATCAGCATCAAGACTTTTGAAAGCAGAGTTTTGTGAGGCCGAAGAAGGTTTTCAAACCAGCTGACTGTCTGTTTAACATGAGTAGGCAGTTGTGCTGCTTTAATTTGGTAATACATAGTTTATATATCCATATAATGCCCTATTTATTGCATTTATACATATATATGTTGCATTAATACATTTCTGAAGCTATTTGACATTGTGTGTTGAATATTTTGTTCAAAACTCTGTATAATAGTTTTTTTTATTGCATTTCAATTCACAGAGAAGAAATGTATTAAATTTGAGACATATTAATAATTTTTAACACATTCCCAACTTTCTGTAATACAATTGGTTCTTATTTTAGTAGCCTTTAAATAATCTTGGCCAGCTAAAAATCTAGGAGTAATATTTCATTCTAACTGTGGTTTCAGTGCTTGAGTTAAACTTTTTATTTAGTTAATAAAAGGTGGTTATTACTTCCCGCAGCTGAATTATAAAAACTACTCCACGGCTTGACTGCTATAATTTTTCAGTCATGAACACCTGTGTCCTCCAAATTTACCCTCGACAGGGCACTAGTTCTATTAATACGTTACATAACCCTGTCTTTGTAAACCTCCATCTTTTCACGAGGCATTTTGTACCATCATTTGGAAAAGCTTTCCACAAACAAAATCTGTTGTAACGATTATCATGATTTTTGCTTTCAGTGAGGCTCTCACATCAGATTTAAAAAAACACAAAACACAAAACACACATTCAAACAGTTTATTTTTCCTCTCAAACATCCACCCATTGCATAGTTGCAAACCCTCGCTGTGATTTAGGTCATTTTGCTGAATGTGAGGTAAACAAGAACTATTGGAGCTTTGCATTTTTTGCTGATCTAGGCGGCAACTCTCAGCCAAACAATACATGCATGCTTTAAGTTTTAACTAATGTGCTACCATAAAATAGATCTCTTTGCATTGACTGTGCGAACACCTCGGGCCTGGTGCAAATATTCCTCATCAACGCATCCAGATTACCTGAAGACATTTCCAATCAAGTATGAAAGGCAGAGACGAGCAGTCGGACTCAAAACACACAAGTCATCAAGGTTTTTTTTGTTTTTTTTCGCCCAGACAATCAGGCAGACATTACAAACAGATGTTTCATCCAAGCAACTGGGACTGGCTCCGCAGCTCGGAGCTGAACACTCAGAAACAAACACGTGAGCGAGGCCGTTAATGGCAGACTCCCTCATCTGTTCTGTGCCTGAGCGATGATCAAGCTGCTGTTTAATCAAACCGTTTTCAAGGTGACAGATTTGTGCTAACTCACTGTTAAGTGTGATTGACTGACTACAGGACGGATCGCCCCTAATAAAGATGTCACCCTTAATTTTACGCGGCGTCTCTTCATCTCCTGACGAGTGTGCGGTATTTTGTCTGTGGGTGTCTGACGTTAAAGCGATGAATGGAGTCTAGCTGCGAGGTGACTAACGCAGTCAAATCTAAACTGACGTGATCACCCGGTTTCCCGGCTGTACCACTCTAAATGGCCACCGTGGCATTCATGGGAATGCTGTTGCTGCTCTTCCACCCTAGCGGAATATCTTTGGGCCCTTTGGTCACTTTGGGACGGCTCGCCGTTTCGTCTTTGTTCTCGCGGAAGCAGTAGACTCCGTAGAGGCGGAATTTTCTGTCGGGGAAGCCCAGGTGCCGCACCCCCGGCTGGGGTCCTCCGCAGCGAGCGCGGGGGTTCACTATGGGGTACCGGATGCTGCCGTCCTCCAGCCAGCCGGCCTCGCACCTGTCCAGCAGCTGGAACTTCCAGGCCGCGTACAGCTGGCCCACTTTGGCCACCGCCGAACCGTCCCGGACGCAGGCCTTCGCCGCCTCCGCATAGTTCACCTTCTTGAAGCGTTTGAGGAAGTACACGTTGCCTGGAAGTTGGAAAAAGGAATGAGAAGCGTTAGACGGTCAGGCAAAAAGGTGGACGAGAACTGGGCCAAGCATTGTCTGAGAGAGGAAGAGGCAAAAAGAAATGGGAGACTGAGACTGTTTTAGCCTCAAGGGGCAGATTTTCTCTGGCCTCTTTGTCTGGTTGTGTTCAGAATACATATTCAATCCAACCACTGCTTAATACTGAAAGGCAGTCCCGGGTGCTAAAGGATAAACCAACTCAGAATAACTCAAAAAGCTTCACGTTTGGCTTTCATCTCATCTCCCCGGGGGGGACTTTGGCCACTGTTAAGGAACTGGTACCCATCCTGGTTTCAATTGTCTGAAGTGAGGCCAATCAAATCTTATCAAAGGCTGTAAACGGTTCCGCCATAACTGAGAATTTGCTCATTTTTCTCCACAAATGCTTATGAAAATCCCGTCTGCAGCTGCGGTGCTGTACCTGCCTCATTTCATTGATTTTATGCTCATTTATGTGACTGGTAACTACCGGAGAGGCATCATATTGTCTCGCGTGTCCCTGGGGGATTTTCACTAAATGCCTTCCAGCTGTACTGAGGCTCGGTGTCGGCCGGGACCACTGCTGAAACCTCCTGGCCACAACAGACAATCCGAAGTAATTAACACACAAGGGAGGCAACGAACAGTCAAACAATATTTTTTCCCACTGAGGAGACGGCTTTGTTCTTCATCCCAGTGAAAACCCTGACTTTTTTATTTATTTAAACAGCACTGTCTTCTGATACGATTTGTGTCGTTTCATAGTTGCCTTCTTCACATTTGTGACAACGGATTTGAATTCATATTCAAATTCAAAAAGCACAGTTCAGGTTTTAAACTGAAAAAACTGTTTCTCTTAAAGAAAAACTTCAAGGTTGTCACACCAGCAATTCCCTGTGCTATTCCCAAATATTCTATTTCATCCATGCAATCAATTTGCTAATGTTAAAAATGTATCTAAAACCAACTCAGATGTTGTGTAACATCCATGATGTCAGATTTTGTCCCCCCACCCCAAGGACTACAAAACTTTAATGTGGTTAAAAAAAAACAACTAACGCAGCCTCTTACTCTCCAAACTTTCTCAAAGCTCTTGAACCTAGAGGTGGCATGTGCAGACGCTCTCTACTGGGAATGTGAGGAAAATCAAAGGACCGGGAGATGAAAGGGAACGCCTGGCACCCGGAGGACACGGCAGTCCTTACAGAACTGAGTCTAAACAGTCTGATTTGAATCCAATGGCCTGAGGCCGGCAAGATCACAGGCAGAGATCAGAGAAATAGGCCTTGTGTCCCTCTTGTCCAACACCCCAGATACATCCTCTTACCATACAGTAGTAAAACAACTCGTACCAAAGTCAAACTCAGACGTTCAGACCCGGAATGTTAGTCTGGTCATTTGTAGGAGGTGAATAATCATGCAGCTCGTCCATAAAGTTTTGCGGATTATCATCTGCCAAACCGATGTATCTCTCTGTTTTCTAACCATTGAGCTTGGAAGTGAAGCAGAACGCATCGTAGCGCTCCTCATCCTTGTGCCGGTAGCCATAGTTACGGACGCCAGCTGGGGTGTCCTTGCGACCGCACTCGTCTCTGGGATGGGAGATGGGATACTGGACTGAACCGTCCTCCAGCCATCCCGCGTTACACCAGTCCAGCCCTTCCAGCCAGGCCTGTGGAGGAAGGATAAGGCACGTTTGTGGACTAAAAATGGATTAAAAAGAGGACAGGAGTTGCTTTATCTCCTCTACTATAACTCCATAACTCTGACACTTAACGGCCTAGACCTCTTTGCATCGAGAGGATGGACCAGCAGTAAAATCCCTCGTCTGTTTATATGCGCGGGCTATAATTTCAGACTCTTTGCTGCAGTAATATTTTTACAGCCGCAGCAAGTGCATAGTTACGATTTAAAGGGCGGCCAGTGAATGAAAGCAAAGGGAGAGATGTGATCTGCGATGCCCATTCTACGCCCTCTAATCGGAGAAATGGAGTGAAAAAACCGAGTGTGAGTTCACTTTGTGCAGCTGGGAATGAGAGGCCAAGATGGCGTCCTGGTGTTTGCAGGCATCCTCTGCCTGGTGGTAGTTCAGCTTATATCGTCCTTCACGGGGGTAGTAGGGAAAAACAACTCCTAAAGGCGGAAGAAACACACACAGTTAGGCTAAAGCAGAATGTTGTACTCACATACAAATGTCCAAAATATACCAAGTGTTTGATAGATTCCATTACAAATTTCACCAGAAATTAAATGCTGTAACAAAAAGCTGAGAGTTAAACACATGGTGGTGTTACATTGGGATGTATCAGTGGGTAAAACCATCTTTTTCCCCTAATCAACAATAACAACATATTATTGTTAACTCTTTCTTGGTGGTTTCACAGTAGATTCATCTAGTACTCTTTACCCAGCAGGTAATAAACTGCCATTTTTATCAAAATACACAAGTCCAAACAGAATAAGTGAGGTTTCCCCTTCTTATTTGCCCACTTTCTGAAGAAATGTCAAATACTGTGGTGTGGCAGTGTCTGTTTTGTCAAACAAGCCTGATACTTTATCAAAGACCTCATAAAGTAAACTAGGAATTGGAAAAAAGTTAAATCTTCTGCATGAACCAGCTTACTGACCTTCTAAGTCGAGGTTGACAAATCCTGTGTCGTCCTCCATGTCGTTAGTGACCTCGCACTCGTAGCGCCCGTAGTCCTCCAGGGTGACATTTTGGATGATCACTGAGGCGTCGCCCGGTCCGGCCTCCTCAAAAAACACTCGTCCTCGGTACGAGCCGAACACGCGCTGCTGCCTGGGGAAATTGAATAGGCCCGTTGACCCTTCAAACACTTTATTACAGCGAGCAAACAATCTGACGGGGACAAGGTCCCGCCTCTGCCAGTGAACTGTGCACAACACATTTTTTTATTTTATGGCTTCATGAAAAGATCAGCTCGGGTGTCCGGAGTTGATCCTATTTGGGGCCGTTGTCCAGCGAGTTTTTGGACGTTTCCCTGCCTCAATACGCCTGATTCACGTCAGAGTGCTTTTGTAAAGCTTTTGAGCTGAACAATTTAATCAGAATCAGGTGTGTTGAATCTGGGAAACTTCTCAAACCTGCAGGAACCAGAGAGGATCAGAGTTGGACACCCCATGAGCTGAATGGACAGACTATTTAAAAAAGGTGCGAGCCACAAAAGCAACCTGCTGTGAATGGAAACTAAAGAGTTAAACTGATTGAAAGAACAACCGATAGAAAGAAAACGACAGAGCAGAATTCAGAATTTACTTTCCGAGCGCCACGAAAACGTCCTCAAACTGCAGGGCATCGGTCACTTTGGTCCATTTAATCCGAATGCGAGCGGGATCGGAGTTCTCCGGCTCGTGGTGAAATCGGCAGGGCAGAGTGATGGAGCCACCTCGGTGTGTCACCACCTTACCGGGAGCTGTCTGTACAATCACAGCTCCGGTGTCGTCCTCTGAGGGGAAGAGAGAGAAAGATGGAAGACTCTGTCTCAACGCGCTGGGCTGATTTAATCAAAATGAAAAACTCTTTTTTATCTTAAAGTTGATTTGCTCCCTTTTATGGATTTTGTACTTTTTATTGACTCAGATAGCTATCTTGTCCAGTATGTTGGATTTTTAACTCTGTTTGGAGAATAAGTAATGTTGAAAATGTGGTTCCACATTACCATGAAATATGTGCAGTTACAACTTTCAGTGCTGTTTGAAATTTTCCTCGAGGAACTCTCTATCTGTGATCTGTCACTGCTCATGAGCAATGGCAGGGGTCTTTCTCATCCACCGAAAGGTTCCAGCTTGACAAAAAGTCCCTCACCTTCCAGGTTATCCACTAAAAAATCTGAACACCCCCTCATCCAGACATCTCATTCCCGTTTTACCAGACATTTGCTTGACTGTGTCATCGAAATGTAAACATTTATTAAGCAGCTGGAAAAGGCTTTTGTGCAATGTTGTGACCTGATAGCGGCACCTACAATTATCCACGGCACACGGCAATTACTTTCTTTCACAGATATGCAAACTTGCTCATCAGCCGTGAAACAACCAACGAAAGAGTGGCGTTCAACAACAACTTCGAGCACTTTTTTTTTTTCATGCTATAAAGTTTGCGTTGCCGTGCAGGGTTGAGACAACTGGCGACCTTACAAGGGTGTGTCTCTGCCAGTAATAAACATTCTAGAAAATGGATGGATCTATGCATCTAGCAGAATGTAGGTCTGTTGATGTGCATCTGTTGCATTTTCACATAAAATCATGTGAAATGCATGAAAATGAACCTACAACCCAACTTTCCAGATGTGGATTGTGGGTGTTGGTACCCCAGAAGTACACTGTTGTTTGATATGTCTGTCACTGAATTAAAGGCCTCCCCAAAACATTTGTCTTCTAAATGGCCAAGAGTGTATCATAAGTTATTATTAGTTTCCTCACAGACTGTAAAGTTACCATCCATGGTGCACCAATGTCTATGCATACCCATTGGGCTTACTAAAGACCTGTGACATCCTATTCACAGGCCTACATTTCCCAGCCAACTCTAATAATTAGGAGCTACACATTGTAATGGAAAATATTGCCCTCTTTAATGTGGAGACCTATGGGTTGCAGAGCTCAGGAGAAGTTTTGCTAAGCACGTTTTTTTCTCGTTTTCAGCGGTGACTTACATACATGCGAATGTAGTAAGCTTATATGTGGGGAAAGTATTTCTCCACACGGTATCTTAAATGTAAAGAGGACCCGAGGTCCCGAGGTCCTCTTTACCATGCAGATGTGCAGTTTTAGAAAGTCCTCACCAAGAACATGAACCACTTTTCTCCTTCCTTTTTCAGTGTCAGTGGGCAGGGAATACACTGAGAGGGCAGAGGCCAAGATGAGCAGCAAAAGGGACATTTTCTCAAAGATCCCAGGCCCCAGCTGTTTTGCAAACTGCAGGAAATGAACAAAGAAGGAGGAAGGCCACTGGCTCACTTACAAGAGAGACAACTGGACAACACAGTATGATTCTAGGGGTAAAATCAAAACTTAAAAAAGAGCATAAAGAAAAAATGTACATTTACATGTACATTGGTGAAAAAACACCAATGTACATGCAGACTATAATAGTTAAATGCTTTTTGAGTACTATATCCTTATAAAAAAATAAGAAATTCAAGCGGGTACAATCTCAGTAAAGGTAAAACTCATATAACACCAAAGAGCTCCAATTTTAAGGATAGAATACATTCAAACTAACAAGTTTAGGGTCAGTAAAAAGACTGTGGACTACTAATTACTTTGGCTTTCACTGTAAAATCATGCCATACTAGCAATGAAAAGTTCCCTCACAGGAAAGCAAACTTAACACTTTAGTATTATTTTCCTTTTTGTGATATCTGGAGAAAAACCCAGATGTGTTTGGAAATATTTGGACAAACATAGGCTTAGCTCTGTAGAATGCAATTAGAGGACTATCATGCAAACGGGAGCCACAACAAACTCCAACTCCCCTTGTTATTGTTCATATCAAGGCCCAGGCACAGAACACAGCAAACAAGATCCGACTATGATGAAAGGCCCCCCTGCTGTGCCTTTCTGTGTCTGTGCGGTGCAGAAGGGGATGACAGACCATCTGCATAATCTAGAAAGGCAAACCGAAGGAAAGCATTGATGCAGAGCCTACTTTTGTTCTTTTTTTGATATACAGCACAGTTATAGTGGCGTTTAATATTGATATGTTTTTGAATTTTATTTAATTTCTCAAAGATTGTTTTTATTTTTTACCTTTATACTTTTAAAAAGTATTAAACTGAATGCAATTAAAAAGTTACAGTAACATTTTTATTTACAGTGTCCTATGCAAGGAATCCATCCAAGGTTTCTTTGCAAGAAAAGTCATCTTGGATGTCACTTTTGCTTTTGAGGGTGAAGTATTTGGTTGGTTGTACATATTTGTATATATTTGTATATATTTGTGTGACAACAGTGGCAGTCCTGCATCACATTGATGTATGAAACATCACTCTGAAAAGCCAAACCGTGAAAACCAGTCCCAAGGATGGTATTCAGACCTTATTTCGAATTGGATAATGTCATCATAAAGGCTAAAAGAAAAGTATCTAGACTGTATTGTGTGGCTGATCTCACTGATGGAGGTCTGCATTATCAGCATCCGGCTCGGACAATCGGCTCCTACGACACAGTGCTGCTGCATTTTTATGAATTCTTCCCATGGATTCAGGCCCCGGTGAATCGACCGTAAAAAGAGGCTAGTTAACATGCACATTAGGCTCTATAAACAGCTCTATTGCTTCATTCTCTCAAGGTTAGCACAGGGATCATCCCTGCAGCAGGGCAGAGCTACAGAGCACAACCAAAGGAACAGAGCAGAGCAGAGTCATTTCAACTTACCATGGCTATCACAACAGGACTTGAAGATGTTCCACTATGAAGCGTTTAAGTCCTCACTCAGGTTAAATGCCGTTCTGCAGCAGCCTCTCTTCCCCCCTCCTCCATAGCTGCTCTCTCACACTGCAGGGGAAACACCGGTGTTTGTGGGTCCTGCAGTGCTCCGATGACGCAGCACACATTTGTCTGCACACACTCTGAGTCTGTGTGTTACTGAGGCCCACGGATATCACATCACCTCACGCCGTCACACTGTTTCTCTGCCCTCATGGGAACAATAACAACACATCAATCAAAGATATGTTGCAGCCACAAAAAAAATAATTTATTAAAAACTGAAAATTAAGATTATTTTCATTCGACATATCTGGCCGAGGAGGAGTAAAACTTGAAGACACACAGTGAAATATTTTTTTGTTTGTTTTTTTTATTTAAAGATTGAGAGTTCATGAGGATTTTAGGTAAAATTCTGGTGCAGTGAGTTGGTTTCACTGACCAGGCAACTCTGGGGCTCTGTATGAATCAGTATCATTCATTGGATTTGATTGGAATAGGATTGTGGTGTGTTTGTGAAATTGGACACTTTGTTAGAATTGTAGCTGATACTGATTTGAGGCAGCTGCCCTGTTAAACTGTCAAACATCACATATCAACATCACGATGATGGCGGCACTCTGGCTACGATGCAGCAAATATTCCGTGGACTGGTGTGACTCCTGGAGCAGCAAATGTAGAAATGAAGCAAATGTAGCTGGTGTGCAGCTTCCCAAAATGATGTGGCAGTCTCAGGCATTTACCCCTTCTAGAGGACCAGCCCCATCAAACTGATCTCAATATGGTGTTGATTTGTGGAAATGAGAAATTTAAGGTTGACAATAATAAGGGTTTGTTTGCATTCATGGCAGCTGATTTGAAAGGCATTAATTTAACCTTTTAAAGCCTGATCCAAGAAAAAAATGGAGAAAAAACTTACTTTTTTTTTTTGTCTAAAGTGTTCAGACAGAAGCATGGCTTTGTGGTTCATCAGTATAGTTTTTGCCTTTGTCAGTTTATGTGTGTAAATGTGCTGCTAAGACATTTTCACATGCATGTGAAACACCCCAAAACTGCAGAAAACCTGAGTCACGCTTTAAAAAAAAGAGGCTGATCCATCGTCCCGCCTTATACATCCACCAACCTTAGTTCCTCTCATTTAAACCAGTGTTCAGGTAAGGAGCTGGGGCTGAATTTTTCACATGGACAATGTCACGAACTGAGAGTGAATGTACTTTCATTTTAATGTAAGAGTTCCTCTCCAGTGTTTCCATCCTCCCAGTGTGAACGGTTCAGTTATTGTTATCATAGCCACAGCTCCTCCGCTCTCTGCACAGCCAGATGGACATCTGCAGCAGAGATCCCCCATGACTCTCCTCATGGCGGTACATAGCTGCTTGGAGGAGGCACATTTTGATTTAAAGCCTCTGTCACACACACTGGTAGCATGTGGAAGCAAGAGCACTGCTTCGGAAGAGAGAATTAAATGAGTGCGCCTATCTATGTGCCTATCTTGGCCCAGAGCACGGCAAACTATGAGGGATAATTACTCCTGAGTGGGCTGCTCTTATTGATGGGCAGAAGATGAAGTGAGTCTTGCGCTGCGTTTTTTTTTTAAACAGCTTTATCCGACCGAATTCATCACGGTCAGGAAAACGCATTGTCACATTAAAACCGTGCCCCTTCCATTACATATAATAAGGTTTTCTTTGTTCGGCCTCAGAAAAATAGTGATGGTCTCATCAGAGATGTTTCACCTGATTAAAAGTAAGAAAAAACTCGATTTTATTGAGTCACTTGATTCAATGTAAAGATGATTTGATGTCTTCATATAAGGAGTGAGAGCTGGAGCAGACCATTTCCAGGACCACCTAGATAGAGTTTTCTGAAACAAAACTAAAAAAGATCGAGCAACTATAGCAGAGGGTGGATGAAATGCTGGCTGTCGAGGCACCTCGGATAAGACAGAATACACAACGGCACAGGCATGTCTTGCTTTCGTACCAGAATGAAAAAGAAAAAACCTGTCTTTTCAAAAATGAGATAGGTCTGAGAGGGAAAACATGTTTTAGTGTGTGTGTGTGTGTATGTGTGTGTGTGTTCGGTAAACTAAGTGAGTGAGTGGCAGGAGCTGCTGTCGGAGGACGCGTTTCCTCTCGCAGCATATGTCAGCTCATCCTCACACGGCTCCAGAGTAATGATCTGTGGTGGCTGCAGTGGAGTCGGATGTGAAACACTAAGCATATTGTGATGTTGTCACGTCTCCCTGCTCTCCTCCCCAAAAAAACCCCCACAAAGTCTATTTCAGACTTGTGCGTTCACATACAGACGGTTTCCACATTTGCAGCCAGACTATCTGCACACCAGATGCCAGCTTTAAATCAGGTTTGCACCCAGCAGCCTTGTAGTTTGTTGCAAAGGGCTCCCTTCTTCCATATCCAGTCGCTGATTAGTCATCTTTCTCTGGAGCAGGTGGAGAGATCTTTAATCTCTTTCTATGTATAACTGTGATAATTGCAGTTCTGTTTATGCAATCGTCCTGGAAGTTGTCCATTATAATTCTGCTTCGAAACGCAATGTGAAAAGCTACTGTGCATCTTACCTCACATATCAAAATGATTGCTGTTTTTATTCTTTTCTCCTCATTTACGTATATTTCTGAACTTTTTAGCACCTTATTTTAGACCAAAACAGAGTTTGTACTTCATCAGTTAGATGCCTTGTGTTAATCCAAATAAAAATGTTTATTTAGCCGATTCATTTCCCCAGTTGTCTTTAAAACCAGTTTTTTTCATGAGGGGAAAGTGCACAAAATGTGTGCACAAAATGTCCGTTGTTTAGTTAGGTCAGATGAACATGTGAGGCTCAGAACTTTCCAGAGGCCTGCTCATTTGTTTCAGTTGGTTCAATGGCTTTCTCACAGTCTCTGTACTTGGCTTGACAACTTTTTTTCTGGTATTTTTCTGAGATGTTATCATCATCCGCGGTTTAGTAGGAACTCTATTCATGAGATTTTGCTTTACAACAAAAGGGAGAGGGTTTGAAAGCAGCATGTGCTTTCAAAATTGAGATTTCTCACATTTGCTTTACTTGGGATGAGTGGAAAAATCTGAAGCTTTTTATTTACACACAAAGCAGAGTGGGTGTAATAAGAAAATTATGCCCATGGATATACAAATACCACAGGCTTTTTTCTGTTGTGTAATTTGTGCTGTTTTGTCTCTTCCATTGTCCCTTGAAAGTGATCTCAGAAAAACATCCTAAAGCGAGTCCAATTCCTAAAAGGATGCTGGGGAAGAAAGTGTGGAGGTGGATTGCCTGCCAAGCTATCAGAGAGGATGCGAGAGGATATTCAATGCTGAAACGCTTTTTTGTCAATTGTGCAAGTCTTTTTTTTGTATGTAACGAGCATGACGCAGAATGTGAATGATCCTGGTTTGAGTTGGACAAAAAAACATTGCTGTGTACATACTGTATATATACATATAGCTTTGCTATTGCTTTATCCATGCACATGGCCTGTTTTCATTACAAAGTATGTTGTATGGAATCAAAAACGTGTGATGTTTTATCTGAAGAAAAAAGGTGTGTGTTTAAGGGTAAATCCTATGCTACACTACAGCCTGCAAAACACCTTCCTGATTGTGATTAATGCCAATCAAATAAACACAACGCAGCATCAAAAGGAAATCATCATCATGATTAATGAGGAACAGAGGGGCGCGACACATTTTGCTTTTCAATCAAAATTTATCCTGTTAAAAAACACCACTTTGCAGCTGTTACTAGAGCCAACAGGCTGGAGGTGCATTAAATCTAGTGTTTTTTCGGCTGTATTCACAACCATTTGGTGATGTAACTTTCTGTCCTGTCTCTCTGCCTCTGTACCACTATTTATTATCGACTTAGCGAGTAAAAGAACGTCAAACAAGCAAAAAAATACTGACTGAAACACAAGGGTTTTGAGCAAAATAATCTTGTATTTTGTCTTTTTCAAACACAGCATTTGTAATAAAACAGCTGCTCATGAACCATGAGAAGAGTCGGAAGGGATAAAGAATTATTTTTCTTTGTACTTGGTATCTTTCTCCTCACTGTTTGGCAAACCTGTCTGACCAGGAAAAGGGGCTATTTTTAAGAAGAAATAGGGGTTGCTCTGAACCCTCAGGGCCACCAGAACAGGAGTGGCTGCATAAAGCAAGTTAGCGAGCAGCACTGTCCAGAACACGTCGTTGGGAATGCGAAATGAAGCTGTGGTGCGAGGGTGGAGGGACCCCCCGATGTGGGACCACTGGCACTGGAATAAGAACGCAATACAGCGATTAGAGTATGTTACTACACAGGAAACACCAAATACACAACAAAATGTACATACAAAAAAATATAACAGAATGGAATCTCCCTATATGGACTATTACAGTGACGCAGGTCGGACCTTTTTTAACTTAAATGCTGATGGAAAACATTGTTGAGCGAGAGGCAGTTGCTGCAATGCACTGCAGGATGCAGGAAGTTCATCCTTAATATGTGTTCAGGGTTATTATCCATCAATTTTCTTTTTGGTGTTACCTGGATCATGGCCCCAGCGAGGAACATCGTCCAGTCTGACATCCACGTGCACCCGGGCTTAAGGAGGCCATAAACAAACGCTCCCAGGAGAGGCAGACCATAAAAGAACAAGTGCAGCATCTGAAAAAAAACTATTATATGTTAATTCAACTACATCTTTTGTTCCACTTTCATATATTCAGAGTCTTACTTTAGCCTTACACTGACATGTAGCATGACACTTATGATACAATCAGCATTCCCGCTAATGAGAGTGGTTCTGGAGAGAAGAGCAGCCGCGGTGCTTAAAACCCTCCATCACTGTGTGTTGACATTGTTGTTGAGCCCTGACACTCAGCAGGCAGTTAATACAGTGCGTCTCCGTCCTCCTCTGGCCCAAACTCTAATTCCCACACTAACTCTGAATACTAAAGAGGGAAGCGTAAAGCACTCAATGCAAACACGCTGATCCTTCTCACTGCGCTGCTGAAAGCTGGCCCCTTCTGAGCCAGAAAAATTCAAAACATCTGCGATAAGGATCTGGCATCGGCAGCAGGATGGGGGTAAAGGTCAAAGGTTAACGACTCGATCTGGTTTAAACATGTGATGTCTCACTCTCCATTCGATGAAAACAATGATCATTTGAAAAGATTTGATGAAATGTTGGCATAAATTAGCTTCTTTACACGGTGTCAGTGTTGACATCACAAAGGTGATGTTTCATATACAGCACAACCGTATTTTAATGCTTTTCAGTTCAACCCTCTGTAGCACAAATCTACACTCTCTACACAAATGATCCCTTTTACACGGGGGTCATTACAGAAACTTTCTTGACCTTCACGTGAAGCATTTGGTGCATGAAAGTCAGTTTCCCACTTTGTAAAACCTTCAAATTATACTCGCGAATGCTCCTTTTCACTCCTTGTTCTGAGATCCGGCTGAATAATAATGAGCCGAGCACAGGACCTGAAAGCCAATCGTGTGCCCCTCATTCTCTTCTTGTAATGTGTTTTTTGTTCCTGTCGTGGTAATCTGTCACATATCATTCATCATCATAATCAGTGAGTAATGAGGTCAGTTGGGGAAGAAGACGGGACAAACACAACCTTCCCATCTCTTCGTTTGGCCCTCCACATATATCATAATCAATCCTCTATTAATCAATGATAGGCAATATGCGCAAACGCTGTTTTGAAAATGCGGTTAATCGTGATTTGCCATGCTACACACATAGCCTCCTCCCACCCAGCCAGATGCAAATGGGAGGCTTTGGGGCAAGGGATTAGCTTATCAAGTTCTTAGCTTAAGGTTTGTGTCCCTGATCAATAATTTCAATTGTGCCTGGACTGCAGCCCTGGCAATGTCTTTGGATAACCTATTGACGAAACCACACACGCTGAACAGAGCACAACAAAACCAAAACCAGGGAGGGGGTCACAGAAAGGCATGAAAGGAGAGCAGAGCAGCTGCCAGTCACAGAAATAACATCTTCTCGATTGCAGGCTAATGAAAGAAAAAGACTAAGATGCTCTGACCCATGTTTTCTTTTGCTGTAATGATGAAAAATGGCTCCATATTCAGGCACAAGCTCAGCCAGTCAAGCAGCGGGGGAGGTGAGGGCAACTTTCCAGCACGCTCAAAGTGATACCCATGAAAGCGAGGCTCCATTATGTGGCTGATTATTTCACACAGGCTGCAGAGGAGCTTTCAGGTGCTCCAGACTCAGGCTGAAAGAGCAAAAAAGACCCACCATGACTCTGGGGAAGCCCACAGGGTCCTTCAGGTAGGGCTCAAATTGCTTCAGATATACAGAGCAGGCTTCGAGTGGGGAGTCCAGAGCCACCTGCAGAATGGGAACATGAATATGAATCAATTCAACAAGACAACGCCACAAACTATCTCCCAGACAATGATACTCTGTTCTGTTAAAAAAAAAAGAATTTAAAATATTTAGGAATTTCTATTGTTCTATTTCCCGCTCAAAGTTAAATCAGGTTTAAAATCAGGTCCGGAACTAACACTCACCTTTTTTTTTTCCAGCACTGATTCAGGTAAACATCACAAATAACAGCTGGACCCTTCCTTTATTAATAATATTACATTTATTCAACAGTTATAACACCAATTTTCTTCATTCTCTTATCAATTCACATTGATGAATTATTTATCGCCCTTTAAAGTTACATCATCACATGAATTTGTAAAATTGCCACCAGGCAACATCGGCAGAACGCACTGATTCTGAGAGGATTAAGGATTAAAGAATCTGAGCGGATCGTGACCATGTTTGCCCACACTGAGACTTTTGAAACTCTGCCCCGAGCGTTCTGGTGTACTCACCAACCCTCTGAGGACGGTGAAAGCAATGGAGGCCAACAGAAGAAGGACTAGGAGGAGATCTGCGGGACGCCAAATCAGCTTCATGCTCTGAGCGTGCTGCGCCTGTGGGCCGGAGTCAAAATGATGCACAGCACAAACGTGCTTAGTCAAGGTTGTGGCTTCATTGAACATTTGCTCGCTTGTATGATAGAATAAGTGAGTATGACTTCCTTTTCCAGACACCCATAGACCCATAACTACCTCTCCACACACGCCTGCAGGTGTCCTTGAGGTGTCTGTCACTCTGTATCTTACATCAGGCCTTGATGTGCAGTGAGGCTGCATTCAGCTTTAATGTCCAACCCCAATTAACAGCCCAGATACGATTTATTCACATTAATCCTTAAAAAGTGGCCAGTATCACATTTTAGAGTCAAAACTGAACCAACCTGAGCAGAAGAAAATGACTGCCCAGCACAAAGAAAATTCACTTCAACAATTTTTTCAAAGAAAAATCAAATGTTTGACATATCATTGAGACTGCCACCAGATTATGATAATGTCTTATATCAAAGTGAAAAATCGGAAAACCGCCTCGACACCACTTCTAATGAAAAAACGTAGCAAATCATCTTCTGTGTTCACATTTAAAGGATCGATACATTTGAGTTGATTATACTAATTAAATACATTCCGCAAACACTACATCCATAAACCTCTTGACATTCATAGCAAGGTCTAATCAATTCCGCTTCCAACTCACATTGTATCCACCAATTAGTGGTCTGTCCTTGGGTCGAGTGAACAGCGAAATGGCTCCCAACACCGGCATCAAAAGGAAGAGGAAATTGAGCCAGAAGGCCGGACGGATCTCTGACCCGTATTTACCTGCCAGAAAAACATTTTAACACCCACAATACAATACAAGCAGCACTGTAAACACTGTCAGTCGGTAATTAAGCTCCCTGTTGGAGCCCCAATGGGACAACAAAATCCTAGAGATGCGTCATACTATGATAACACAGCAGATAAAGCACGCTGCCTGTGGATGACACTGATCTTGTGACACTAAAATATGCGGTTTGAAATTCCAACGGCAGATGCTTCCAGTCGGCTTTGTGCTTTGTTCTCTGGGTTTGGAGGCCTGGTGTGTTTGCGCTCTGCTGGCAGGCTGAACCGTGACACCGGCGGTAACGCGGCAGGGCAGATGTTTGCCTGATTGAAAGTCATCATCAGGCGAGCGAGTCAACTGGTGGAAGGGGAGGCTCACCTGCCACAATTCCGTTGATAAACACGCTCATGTTCGCGCACAGGGAGCCAGCCCAGAACAATCCCAGTGTACGATAGGCTTTCCTGGAAAGAAACAGAAATGCACAAGGCTGATGGCTTTGCATAAAGTAAAATAATAACATTTAAAGTGTGGCATTTTTTCCAAACTGTAACCAGCCATGGCCTGACCTGCGGCGCATGTATGAGGCTGGTGTTGTTCTCTGGTCCATGAGAGGGTCTGCCCCGAGGCAGTGAACCCTCTGAACCCCTCAACTCTCTGACTCTGCTCTATGAATAACTCACACTGGATGAGGCTCTGTTTTTTCTAAAACCACTATTTAATTCAATCCTTATATGTATTTGATGATCTAAACGTTTTAACAAAGCAGTCATTAAATTAAGAACTTGAAAGTTGTGGGAAAACCAAAATGTTTGAAGCATGTCGTGTAATGAAATCAGCCATGAATCCAGCTGGACAGAGCTCTGCGTTATCTAAAGCAGGCATTTTTATGTAAACCCAGATAAATGGGCATCCTTTAACTTAGGATTTGTTGATGACCACCCACCTGTCAGTTATCCTGCTGATCATCATCAGGTACATGATAAAATGAGCAATTCCATCCCAGTAACACATCATTATGGCATAGGACGTCCCCAGGTAGGGCTCTCCCTGTAACGTGACACATGACCACCGACGTGATGAACATTTGCTTGACACAGTCCTCTATGCTTTTAATTACTGTCTGCTTTGTGCAATCTATTTATGGAGAATAAAAAATAGCTTCATTTCAAGGCAAGTATTTGAAATAAATCGATTTAAGGCTTAGACGTGACACCTACTGTTTTCTGATAGAATTCCATAAAGCCAGAAATAATTCCATCATATTCCAACGCACTTGTGAGGTCGATGATACAAGTGAAGCAAAATTCTGCAAAAACTGGAGCGGAAAGAAAATATTAGTTCATGATCTGGTATTGCAAGTCTGTTTGTGTATGCATTAGTGTATATGTGGGTGGATGATTATGACTGCCTGGCAATATCTTCAGAAGCAAAAAAAAAAAAACTCCAGAAGCAAAAGTGTGTGAAGCAGCTTTGCTGGTTTTAACAAAACTACAGTATATCTAAAGTCCATTTTCTTCTCCCTGAGCAAATCCTGTGTTTGTCATAGCAGGAAAAATCCAGCTGGAGTTCATGGCATTAAAAGCCACTCTTTAAAAAAAAACACTTTTTGTGCATCAGCTGAAATGTCTGCTCTCTAAAAGGTCTACAGGCAAACATCCCAAAGTGAGAGCAAAAATATCCTGTTTCTGTGTGTCTTCCAACCTTTTTCACCATCTACTTTTCACTCGCATTTCTCTTTCAAGAGACTAGCTGCTATTTTATGGGACAGTGAGTAGAGAAGATTAAGTTGTGGTAATAAAGTAGGCTTGAGGTATATTTCAATCAAGTCCGCGGTAAAGTCGTGTTGGAAGCCCATCGAAGCCAAACGACCATGTCGAGCAAATAGAGGTCAGTAATGGAGCGACACAAAAGACCAGAAGCAAAGACCTCCCGACCCCCTTTTTCACGGGTGGGATTTGGGTGGGTCAGAGTTGGAGAGGTTGTGATCGTGGAAACAGCTGAACAGCAAGGGTTTTTTAGGATTATTTTGGTGAAATTTGGTGACTCACGGAACAATAAAAAGTGTATTTCTTCTCAAAAACACAGCCAGAGTTAAGAGACTTTGGTCTACCTCGTTTAGCCCCAGTGGACCTTTCAACATTCATTCACACCCGACTGTTGACAACTTGAATTGTTGTGGACTGATTAAGTTGAATATCAGCGATCTATCTATCTCTCCATTATTAGATACTAAATTTAACAAAAATATATTTAATAATGTCTCTTTTTTTAGATAATTCAAATCAGTATCGTGCTAATGTAATATTTGCACATCATTTTGTGACTATAGACATTTTTCTTAATGATTTGAGCTTTTTTTAACCAATAGGATGAACAAAAATAGTCCATAGTTCCAGAGAATACTCAGAAAGCAGCCTGAGCAATGCTGTATTATCTTTTCCCATGAAGCACCAATATAAATGTTGCAATGGGTAAGGATAAATAACAGAACTCAGAGTATTTTTATCCCATCGGTGCTTCTCTGTAAATTCATATAATAGACGCACTTACACAAAGCTCACTTGTGTGTACTTGATCTCTTCTTGGAGTCTGAGTGAATCCTCAGGATCTCCAGTTTGTCTCCAGCATCAAAGGTGTGATAGCCCGGGGGATTTGGATTCTGTGTCGTTGGCAAGAACCTGCTAAAACTTTGCCGTAGTTTTTGTGGTATTTTTTCACATCTCCTGCGTCGCCCTGGGCGACAAATGGTGCAAATGGTGCCCTGCTAACATGGCCTCTGGCACCAGTCGTAACCACGAAGGTCCTGGGCAGAACCGCCACATGGTTCGGCCAACTCAGACTTCATTTGGCCCACACTACTGTGTGAAAGTTTAATTGGACATGATGCCGTTGTCACTTTAGTGACATTTCTAAATACTTTTGCACTTTGCTCCGGGTCAGTCGGGGACTCGGTCTTAACAGAAGGGCTAAAATGTTAAGTAAGTGTTATTGTGGTGGAGGACCTCAGTCTGCATTGGGTTTGGGTCAGTCATGCAACAGGGGCGTCTGATTAAGATTTGCTGGGATCCTGATCAGTCTAAGCAGCTTTCGACATAGTAGGCCGAATCACCTTTAATACAATTCATGTTTTCACTCAAGGTTGGTGAAATCCTTTTGTGAGATTTCCAGAACAATGCATAGTAGGCGCTGACCTTTCACGGCCGGTCTATTTAGAAATACTGTATGTTGCGATGGGTTGTGAAATGCACATAGTTGGGTTGATTACCAAAGAATAAGAGGTCTTTAGGTGGGTTGCCACGGGTGATGATGAAATAGAACAGGAACACGACCACCAGTACGGCCACACCGACCTGAAGGATCACATAAGGCCTACGGAAACAGAAATGCAACGGTTATCTTAGAAAATTACATCATGAGGATTTGTTTTACACCTTCAGATATATACATCTGAGATTTTCTACCAATTCTGTTTCGCTGATTAGTCCTTTTCTTGGAAGTCGTGCTCATCTTATCTACAGTGTTGAAATAGTAAATGAGAAGAGATGAACGCTGCATCCACAGTGAGAACAAGGAGAAAAGATGCACAGGCGCCTAAAGAAATATGAGTGATAGAACAAAAGCAGTCGGTGTGGTAGTTAGTATTTCAATTCATGGGTCTGAGATGGTGAAAATCTCCAGGAACGCTGTTGCTGATTAACTTTTCATGCGCAAAGTTGTAAAAATGTGTGCTGATTTTTAAGGGCTGCGCCAAACTAGAGATGTTTGGATTCTGTTCAGCTGCACTGACCTCACAGGTTCAGACATTTCTGCTGGAAAAAGCTCTGAGCAGTCGTGAGCAGAGGTGTGGGAAGCGGGAAGCTGAGGCCATCTTAGTTCAGCCGGGCCTTCCATGTTTACCGGTCAAAGGTAGCGCTGGCTTGCCGCGGTAAAGATTGATGTGGCCAAGATACCTCCCAGCAAACAACATTACAACGGCAGGAACCCACAATGTGTGCTCACCGAAGAAAAACAAATGCTGCCAGAGCAAAGGCAAGCTCCCTCGCTGCCTCTCCAATTCAAGCGTACCAGAAGATTTATGCGCACAATACTGTTTGTTTGCAGAGTGGAAGAGCACGAGGCATATAGTATGTCAAGAGTCATTCATCAAACTCTTCTGTGCAGTTTGTATTGATTGTCAGTGTCCACATACTAAAAATAAAGCTGCAGCCAAACTATTTACCAAAAAAAATGAGTAAAAGATTGTGTGCACCGTGTGGTTTATAAAAGTGGGAATTTTATCGCTTGCTGTGTTTGAATCTGAGAGTTGACAACGCAGCTCGTTCCCTCGTAAATCAGGCAAAAACAAAAAAACGCTGGATAAGAAATGGATTTTTCACAGCTGGTTGTGTGTGCTCTTATGTTAAATTGTCTGTCTTTTAGATGTTTTAGGACCTGTGATGTTGGTTGTTTGTACCAGGACCGGTGCTGTGGAGGATACAGAAGCTCCAGCAGAACCTCCCGTCTCTCCTTCTTACTACAAACACTCAGCATGCATTGGGTTTGGTGTATTGGGATGGATTATCACACATTTGTTTTTAATTATTTGGTTTTTTTTATCTAACCAGCCACACTTTGTTCTGTTTTTTTTTATCATAGCAAGTAACCTGTAATAACCATAAGTATTTTGCACCACTTTTCCATTTTTAGAAAAATCCTTGGCCAAACCACACAAAGTGCTTCCCAAAATCTCCTAAGAGGATCTCCAAATGTTTTTCTCCACCCCCCAACTTGTGCTAACAAGTAAAATCATAGTTTGCGATTCAGGGAGTTTAAACAACTGATAAATCCGCTTTCATAATTAATATCAAGGACTTAAGCATGCTCAAGATGTTCAAGGTTGTATGAGTGAATTCCACCTGTGTGAAAGCTGGATTTTGTCTCTTAAGCTTACAGAGTCCTCTGCTGGTGGGGAAAATGCACGTCATCCCATGAAACATGAGGATCACCTGCATTTCCTCACTCTCAAATCCTTGCTAACTGTAACATTTATATTCAACATTAGTCAATATTAGTACAGTTTATATGTATGTGTTCAGTGAAATGTACATTTCTACGTGAAGCAATTTCAGGACTATTTATTATCAATATTCCTCCACTGTCAAACATCTTTATAACTTGAACTAAAAATGTATAACATTTCTCAAAGCCATAGGAATTAAGAAAATGTTTCGACTTACTCTTGAAGCTCAGGTATGGTGTTCATGGCATAAAGAATGCCAAGGGCAGAAAATGAGAACAAAAAGACTAAAGTCTCCATCTCTTCAGAGTCTCTTCAGCCCTCTTACTGCAGAATCCGCAGCCGAGCTGAAAAAAACATTCCAAGTCCATCAGAGTCTTTCTTAGTTACTGTTGGTTGAATTAGCAATAAGATAATATCATGGCATTCGAATATCTAAATGGAACTGAAATTTAGTATTAAGTTAGATTACACAAAAGCATCGCAGCGCAGGCTCTTACCGTGTGCCTACTCCTCCGGTGGATTAATCAAATTACCGCTGGCCTCAGGCTGGCTTCGCCTTTACGGGGGAAAATAATGAAGCGGTAACAAAGAAGCTTTTGGGGGGAATGTTGTGCAATTTGGTTTTGTCAGAGATTTGCCTAAGTCGTATTAGAGGATAGGCCCGCATTCCATTTCAAGTTATACTGATGCCTGCCCATGGTGCAATCAGGGCCCTGTTTGGTCAAATATGTGCACTGAGTGCCCTTCATGAACTACTCACAAGGTAGCATGACTGGTATTTTGCAAGTTATAAACCCTTTATGGCCTAAGATGAACGAGAATGGGACAAATTTAGATTTCATTACATCAAAAAGAGTGCGGATGCTTTAAAGTCCTGCTCCTGAAATGAACACTTACTACAGTTTTGTCAGTATAAAAGAGACGTTTGTCCTGGAATCTAAGTCAGGTGTTACTACACAAGATAGGATGTGTCTTTAGGCATGTCTGCAGAGGGAACTTACAGCAACTAACTCACTACCTGTGAGTCACAATGTTGAAAAAGGACAAAAAGTGTTAGAAATGTGGGAGGTTATCAGTTCTGAAGCCCCGTTTGAAAGATGACGGCAGAATATTTTTCTGCCACGTACATTAAAGGAAAAAAAATGGAATTATGCGCCCACAGCTCTTCCCACTAATTACTTCAGTTGCTTTGGGGAGATAAACTCTAAATATCTGTCTGCTGAGCTCCTCTTTGTGTTCTTCTGCACAGTCCCTGAGTGAAAGCATTTGGGAAGAAGAGCCCGGACCAGAATACAAAATCAAGCCAATATTAAGCCAAGTACTTTCAGACATTTTCCAGCAGGGTGTGCCAAATGTCAACAAACATGTTCATGTGAAACCATTTAACATGCAAACTCCAGCTGCAAAACAGTTGTTGAAAAAGCCTTATTTTTTGTCATAAATCTAATGGTTTGTCTTTTACCTGTACATGTTTCACAGCAACATCCCTGCAAGATAAAAAGAAATGCCAGGAAATTGCGAAAAGAGAAACAAAAGCAACGTAAGCCGAGCTTCTGAGGATGAAAAGTAGTTTTAAATTCTGCGGTGAGCTAATGCTTATCTGTGCCAAAAGGCTTGCCTTACAGACATTTGTCAATTGAACAACACAAGACAACAAGGACAAAGCATTTGAACACACACACACCGCCGTCTGCTTTCCACCACCCTCCTTTGTTGGGAAAAGGGGAGACTGTTATACCAGGAAAGCAGTGACAGTGTGTGTTTACTGGATGCATTTGGAGCCTTTCCAGTACCTTCGTTCAATAACGCAAAATGGACAGATGAACGCCAAAATGAGACGATGACCTGCAGAAGGAAAAGCAAGATCAAGCCCAACAGTCCATTTACCGTCAGAAAGTGATGTGCTTGCAGTTTTCTTCAAGTGTAAAGAACACAAAATGATAAAACACGAACAAACAACCCTGAAATGCAAATGGACTCGCCATCCTTGTAAAATCTTCATGTTATATGGTTAGAATTTCATTTTCGGTGCTGAAATGGACATCAAAACAAGATTTGTTGTCTTATGCAATGGTGCTCTAGCTGACTCATCTTTTATTTCTGGGTCACCCATATGATAAAATATTGGCTTAATTATCATCCGTCCTTGTGTGAGCAGTTGCCGCGGCTGTAGCCGCTGGCATCTGTAATATAATGTTTGTGGGTCAGATTTGGGCCACTGGCTTCTATAAAGTAATATAAGAAAAAAACATCAAACCAATTTTTTAGAGAAAACGTATATAATATTGTCATATTGGCCTGAAATTATGCAACCATCTCAGGGCACCATGGGTCATAATCACACCTCCTGACGGAAATGTTTGTGTGCACTCATTTGTGGTTGGGAAACAACAAAAAAAACAACAAAAAAACAGCAGTTAAAATGTGTTTGCATGAATCCATTTATAAATGTGGAACTGATCATTTCACAGGTCTTTGGCTGAGAAGTACTGATGAGTACAATGATTTTGAGGGCGATATTCATCTACTTAGCTCTTTGATCTGCATGTAAAGATGAAAATAACTAGTGCAAGAAAACAGGTGTTACCAGATTACATCTGATAAAAGATGATAATCATGAAGATCAGCTTTGACCTAATTGAGTTTAGTGCGGCCTTAATACTATCTAATAATACAGGAAAAGGAACATCAGCACAGCAATGAGCCATTGGCTCATGTTTTATCTTTATTTTATGATTGTAAATAATCATTCCGACCTGAACCTGTCGTCCAGGCGTAACATCGCGGTTCTGAACTATTTGTGGTGGCAGTTTTCCGCTCTGGATCAACAAGCAGCTCTGCGCGTGACGACAGCGGCGGAAATATTTTTTTTTCGTCAGTCAAAATGGCACCGACTCAATCAGGAAGTGGAGAAAACAACTAAGAAGAATAAGTTGGATACATTTCCTTTTTTCCCCGTTGCTTAAACGCGAGCCTTCGCTCTAAATAGATCGGTGTTTTCGTGGCGTGGATTAAGAATAAGTAGCACATTCACGGTAAGTGTAAATCGAGGGCGTCGTTTAAAGGCGAACGACACATCGACAGTTGCCTTATAACAAGATGCGTTTTAGCCTCTTCTCGGAGCGCATGATTTTCCGACCAGCTACTCCGCTTGTTCGGCGGTTTGTAAAAGTTCAAAGTCGTTACACGATTTATTATTGAAAAACACCGAAAGAGGTAGGGATAGTGGAAGTCACACGCCAAGTAAAATCTACATTAAGTTGTAGATGCCTCTGAACGGCAGTGTTAAACAAGAATAGGGGCATTCAACCAACTGATCTTAACCTTTGATAGCTTCGAATTCTGTGGATCATCCGAATTCCATGGTTACTATTACCGTTAAGGGGGGTTCATAGCCAGTCATACTGTTCGTATAGTAATATAAGTATTATTCAACTACAGATACTCTGTAGTAACGTAATTCATAATGTTATTCCACCGGCGGACTCAAGCTGTGTCCAAAACAAGCATACCCAAAGTCGGAAAAAGGCTACGTGAAAGGCTAACCTAGCTAGCACTCTTATCTATCCAGAAGATGGCTTGTTTACGCTAGTATTGTCGAATCTTTCCCCTATTTGGCTCATTCAATTGTTGGCTGAGAAAATAACGTGTGTTATTCAATAGCCTGGGTTAATAAACAATAAGCAAATGGCTTCTTTAATGTATTGCTCGCCGTCCGGCAAGCTAGCAGTATGTGTAGTAAGACTGTACTTAAGCCGTGGCTGCTTTCCTTTGTGCTGAGTTGATGCAAAAGTGCTTCAGTATGTTTAACCAGGGCAGGTCACTTTTGGGTTTGCATTGGTATTAGTTGTTTGGAAACATATATCAAAGTTCTAGGTGACTCACATGAACTTAAATTGGATGTAGTTGAACATTATGGGGATTAAGTTAAAGGAAAGATGCGCTGCGGCAGCTTGAGTTAGTTTAAAACTATGCCTGTTTTTTCAAACGTGGAAGACATATTGAATAAGTCATTCCTGGTTATACTAAAAAATATTAGTAAACGTATAATAACCGTCGCAGGTAATATACGTATTCTCCATTTTTCCTGGTTAAGATGGCACTCAGTGACAGTAAGGTTTTTCTCAGAGAGAGGTGACCCTACTTTATATTTGACGCATTGTTACATTGTAACGCCCATAACCGCCTATTGTGAACAAAAGCCAAGTGTATACAAAGTGTTCTCTTCAATTAATAGTTTCTAATATCAGACACAAGGAAGTAGACCATCTGTAAACACTGTCGTTGTGCAATTTACACAAACCCCCCTGGATGAAACCTGCTCTCACAGCCCTGTCCCCACCAGCTATTTTGCTTTCTTGCAATTTCTCTCTCTTTGGTTTCCAGTGTGCGTGTGTTGCCTGCAGCAAAGGCTAGTCAATTCTCATGCAAGCCTAAACACAGTGGGTTGCAATGGCGGCTGGCTAGTTTTCTAATCATGTCGTTACCCCTTGCTGGGAAATAAGCAACATGCTTGGTTTTAATTCATTCTCTCATCCCCTGTGACAGTCAGTGGTGTCATTTGTTTTCAAATACCTCTCACAGCCATATCTGTCTTTTTCCCCCAAAACTTTTATGGCTGCAAAAAAGGATGCCATATGGATAGATTAGTTGTTGTTTTTGTTTCACCTACTGCTTCAAATATTCTATATAAGAGGCACTGATTTGATTTCACCTAATCCATTTTAAATAAATCAAACGGTAAGAAATAATGCAGGCTACTTTTTAAAGTTAATCTAACTCTGAATATTGGGTGCATGTGGACAAGTGCCAGTCCTGCATGAGCAACTAGAGAGGAAATCGAAGCGAGCACACCCTCCTCCAGGCTAGTGCTCGGTTTTGCACTTTTAAAGAAAGATGATCTGGAGCCACACCAAACTTCAGTGGGTGCTTCTCCTTCCCATGCTCGACCTCTTCTGTAAGTTTTTTTTAAGCTCTGCTCAGGAGGCTTCACATTCTTTGAGACAGAGTGGTGGAAAATAGCTATGAAAATGCATCTCCTTCTTGGGTCTCGTTTTTTTTTTTGGTTGTAAGAATGTGAATGAAGCTAGCATCTGAACGGTGCCTCTGTGGGTGGATGTGTGCACTTCTCCCGCATGGCTCCCCTTTTCTTACTTTTCGCCACTTGCTCCACAGAAGAACTATCTGTTTGTACAGTGTTTATAGCCTGCAGGAACTGCGAGGACAATGAACAGAGAATATGAGGGTGTTTCACAAAGCTGGATCGGCAACTTACTCGGGTTACATTGAACTGTGACGGGTCTGTTGAAACGTGGATGTAAAGTTCAGACTTTGTTTGATCCATTTGCCACCGATATATCGCCTGAAAACGGCCTAACCTTTCCTGATGTTTGGTGAGCCCGGGCTGCTGGTGGGATGTGAAGGACCACCCCATCAGGCTTCAGGCCCCTGCTGTTTGTGACCAGCCTTCATTCTCCCCCTCCCCGTTGTCTTTGTTGGCCCCTTTTCTCTCCCTTCTTCAAGTGATGCCAGTGATAAATCTCATTT